TGTGTGTGTGTGTGTGTGTGTGTGTGTGTGTGTGTTCATGTGCGTGTGCGTGTGTGTGTGAACGTATGTGTATATATCTGTGTGAGCCTGTGTGTACATGTATGCAAGCGCAAGCATATTTGCCTGTTTAAGACTAATGTCAAAGTCCAACCGACTGTAGTTCGTACTGATAGTTGTTCAGAAAATGATGTGTGCCTACATATTTACCTAATCTTTGACGTTTTGAGTTCAGAAAGTTTTTTTAAACCTCCTTTTTGATATTTTCTAAAGCAAAGTCAGCACTTACGTCTGAGTGTGAGTGGTTGGCGGGTGCTCTGGGGTGGTTTGCTCTTTCTTTCCTATAAAGAAATCTATCGTCTCTATCTCCCCTCCTTTTTTGTGTATGTTACTCTCTTGTAGCACCTATAATCTTCGGCACTTATACTTATATGACCTCATTGTGTTGCAAGTGCCATAAAACTTTTACTAAAACTGAACATTATGCCAAGTACTTACGTTTTTAATTTTGAAGAATGCTTTATCTGTGCTATGTTTTCTCGTTTTTAAGATGTCTAAATATCTACCTACTAACAGTTTATAGTCGTCCTAACCTTTGTGTCCGTAGATGTTGGAGCTACTTCTCCGCCGTCTGGGCTCCTCCTCTGTGTTAACGTGCTTTTAAACTAACGGCAGACATACTGTGGTGAATTATATAACCCTTTTTTTCTTTTCTGTACTTTCAAATTTATTCCTTTTTGTTGTTGTGGTAATTTTGAGCTTTGAAATCTGTCTATCCTAACCATAATATAGTCTGATAATATAGATGAGTTCAGAATTGTATCAACACATTCATGACAGAAGCGTAAAAATAGCAAGAGTTTTGAACCGTCGCGTTTGTAAGCTACCATGATCTATTGTTTTAGTACCCTTTGAAGCTTTTTGTACTTGTTATGTCGACATGGTGTATGTATGATTTTAGTACTTGAAACAATGATATGATAATATACAATTAATAATCTTTTGGCACACCTTTCCCTTCCCTCTCGGTGCCAAACCTTACCCTTCCCTTTCCGTTCCCACCTCCCCCTCCCCCTCCCCCTTTTTTTCT